TTTCGAAGGAGGCAAATGAGACAAATGTGATGCCCTACTCTTTGGTTCCATATATAAGAAGCAAATTCAATACATGATTAGTGGCGAGCACGAGAAGTAGATCACGAAGTCTACTAAATCAGGAGGGCGGTGGAAAGGAATAGGAAATCTCATGTACTTTATGCGATCAATGATCAAAGGGTCAAGGCATTGCGTGAACGGAAAGGATTGTCTTTGGGTGAAGGGAATGGGTGAAGGCATTCGGGGAAGAAGGAAATGCAATTTGTGTGATTCGTGTGCGTGAATGTTGCAATCGCAATTAAAATATGTTCTTGTAGTCTTTGGTTTTCACAAGTGAACATTTCATTGCTAACTACTTTGTTTCCTACAAATTTTATTATTTTTTCAGAGAGATTGAAGGTACTCATCTTCTATGAACTCAAATGTATTCATGTGCTCAAGATATATAGTGTTGCAAGTTATTTTGTTGATGAAGATTATCTTTCGAGAATAAAAATTTTTCACTTCAAGAAATAAGAATTCTTTATTTAACTTGAAGTCTAGACAAACTTGGTAATCCGTTTGTAAGAATTATTGTTTTGTTTTGTTTTTTTTTTTAGTTTTATCTATCTTCCATACTTTATAGTAGACTTTTTTTTTAATCAAGCATTCATATCCCTAATAAATAAATAATTTTTGAAATAGTTTGGGGATCTTGTCATTTTAGATAGTGTAGATAAATCACATAATTGAATACAATCAAAAAAGATTTTCTTTTGATATCATGCCCCAAAACCTCTCAGAAATGAATCATAGAAAAAAAACATAGAAAAAAAGGATAATGAATTGGAGAAAGATATTGTAAGAAAGTTAAAGTTTAAACCATCATCTCTCTCCTATTTTTATGCAAAAATAAAGGGAAAATCAAAAAGATGTACATAAAATCTCATTTCATCATTTCATCACTTGAACAAAAATAATTTGAAAAATAAATGTCATTGAAGATAGTTAGAATATGACATTGATTTCTACTATAAATCTTTCAAAAAAGTGATGACTTCATTTTCTAACACAAAATAAGCGATGTCTATTGTTCATGCAAATTTTGGCTTCTTAGTAACTTCCATTTTAAATCAATGTTTGAGAACAATTGGCTCCAATTAAAGCTTCAATTGCTTGTAAAGCTTTTGTGTCATTATAACTAATGGATTTGAATTTTTTTTAGTTTCAAGGAGAATAAAACTTGATAGTGGAGAATAATCTCATAACAAAAGCAAAACAATAGTTTAGTTACAAATCTACCAATAGCCTTTCCTACCCATTAGGCTTATAGGTTATTATATTATTTCTTTCTTTAGAGAACACTTTCATGATAAGATGAATATGTTGAGCTTTTAGGTCGGATGGTGACCACCCACTAGTGCAAAACACTCAGACTTGGTCTTGAATATATTTTACAAATTTGTGTAGTGAGACTATAGAGTAAAATTGTTTTATAAATGGTTTGTGTTTCAACATATAATAAAATCCTATCATATTATACAAGGTGTAAATGGGTTCATTGGAAGAGAGAATAAGCAGTCTTCATCATTAAGGGATACATTTTTTGCTCAATTAAAATGCTTATTTTCCTGCATGAGTGTAAGCAGTTCTTTGATAAGTAAAAGTGCAAAGAAGTTATGTTTTTGCATAATTTCAATTTACTTTTGTTCGTCTGCAACATAGATAAATTGAGGTTAAGTTCTTTAATTTAAAACTTGCCCTCAAA